AACAAGACATCTAAGACATTCAACAGGGATAAAGTGTCAAATGAAGCATCAGGCTACATTTGGAATGAAGGAACTCATAAATAATCTGGAAAAAAAACGTCCCTGACATAAAACAGAGCAATCACTATTTGAGTTGAATAAAGCACCTTAATGACAAAGGAGGAGTTGGATGAGAAGGACAGCTCCTCAGCTGCTTGCTCCAGCAGCTCAAACTCTCCCAGCTCCATGCTCTCCAGCTGCCGGTCACAATCCCAGCGCTGCAGCTTCTCCTGGAACGACAGCTCAAACGAATCCTGTGGAGCTCTGTCTCCACCTCCTCCTGACTCAGTTATACCTTGTGTTGACTCCACTCTTGAGCCACAGCTTTTCTCTCTAGCTGCATCATTTCTCTCCGGCCCTCTTAACATGCCCACTTGTTTGGTTACAGGTTTTGTCTGCGTATTGGGACCTGGGTTCCTCGTGACCTGAGCCGACAGACTTAATTTCCTGTGATTCTGCTCCTTTACTTGCCCCAGCTGATGTTGTTTGGTTTCAGTCTGAATAGACTCAGGTCCTTCTGTGTTCTGTCTTTGATGACTACCCAAAACCTTCGTCCGTGCCTCCTTACTCTCAGCTCTGATGTCCTGAGGTGGCGAGCTGAGACCTCTCATTCGGTTTTCATGGTTGAGAGTGGCGGTTTTACGCTGGACAGGAAGCCGCTGGACGCCATTTGTGCCACCTCTCTGGATGGCTGTGGGCTCAGAGTTGCTGCGGGACATTACTCTGGCCTGGCGTGGTTTGGGGTCCTTCTTCACATCAATTTTTGGTAGCGAGGTTTTGTGGTTGTTGGTAAATCTTGAGAGGCCCTCGCCACGCTTCAGAAAAGGCTTCTTGGGAGGAGCTTGTGAGGCAGCTTCAACTCCATCTTGGCTCTGTGAACGTGAGGAGAGACAATGTGAATGTTATTGGACATTTTTATAATCTCCGTGTAGCAACTGTAAAGTCTAAGATGTCAGATGAAATGTATGTCCCACTGACTGATGATTTCTTTTTTAGGGTTTGTAAGGAGACCCTTGTTATATTCTCTGACCTGCTGTTGCCGGGCAGACTTCAGCCTCTGCTCCTCCAGCCTCAGCTCCTCCTCCAACAACTCCTCAAACGTCTTCTTCTGACCCCCGATACCCGGCTTGATAGGTCTGAAAATAGAAGGACACACACAGACACACAAGGTAATATATACATTGTAAAGCTCTCTGATGCAAATTGCAATTTGTGATATTAGGCAGCATAAATAAAATTGAATCAAGAAAGGTTCCTGAAGAAATACACCCATACAAAACAGTAAAAATAAGAGCTACACTGCCGCATTTCTGTTGTGTTACTGGCTTTGAATATCTCTTCTTGTGAGTCTCGTTTTAACAATGAATTCAATATTGAAATTAAATACAATACCTGAAAAATATTGGTATTCTGTACCATTTTCGATACCTCAAGGAAAAATTTACGTTAAGGTCACAATCAAAACTTAAATATAAAGAGACTGTAACATGACAACAACCTTTCTAAACATTAACAATAAGAGAAAACAAGAAAGTGCAGCTGGTACCAGTGTGTCGATAGTGCAGTAAATGAGTGATTAAACTGTTTTAAATATTCAAAATATTTACATATTAATAAATAAACATTTTTTCAACACTTATTGGAATACAGTTTTTACCTGTCATGTAAGACTTTATCTGCCTCTCTGAAGTCCTCAGTCAAAGCCACACCATTACTTGGTATCACATTATTATCGTGCTTATGAAAACGGCTCATATCAGCACTCTGTTCCTCATCATCTCCTCTGGAGCTCCACGAGCCTGAAGGAAACACACATTGTTAAAATTTCATGCAGAAGTTATTTATTCTCAACATTCGTCGCTGTACACTTTTCTCACCCTCGTCTTCGTTCTCCACCACCTCACAGTTTTGACTTCTTCGTAGCCGTGCCTGTCTCCCTGCTGATGAGAGTTCTTGCTCGTGGCGAAGGCCACTGGTGGAGCCCTGGGGGACCCCAAGGCAGTTCAAGGTGGGGCTGTACATGGTCTCTCTGTGATGATTGGCTCCCTGGAGAGAGTTATCCCCCCACTCTGCTCCTGGCAGCCCTGTTGTCTCTGTGTCATCTGTAAGATACATAACAGAAAAATATATACAAATAAAGAAGCTATTACTAAGTGAACGGAAGCAGGGCAAATACTTCCACATCACTCTGCAACCTTCTTATTTTATATTTTAAGTGAAACTAATGATCACATTTGCAGTTTTTCCACTCATTTGTCTTCATTTTACCTTCTGTGCACTGCGGGGATCCATTCACCATTCCCAGCAGCCTCTGCTGCTCCTCCTGGAGGCGAAGCAGCTCCTCCAGCTGATGTGCTTTTAGCTGCTCCTGTATGTGCTGCTGCCACTTCCTCAGCTGCACAAACACACAATATCATATGTTCTTTACATGTAGCTAACACTCTTATCGTCAGTGTCCCTCTAAATTTTTCAGACAGCTTAAAGACATTTCAACTAGATACTTGGCTTCACATTAACTCCCTGGTCATAGTGTATATTGAACCTGTGACCTCAAACTGACACTAATTCCAGCTCAGTGCTTTCAAACATGAAGTTTTTTGTGGATGCCTGCCACAACTCTACACTGCACATACTGGTAAGTTTAAGGGACAGTTCACCCCCAATTTAAGTACAAAGAAAAAAATCATACATGAAACTGCTCACAACAAGGTCTGTGGATTATCTGGAAAGAGACAAAGCTGTTGAGTTTTTCAAATGTTTTTGTTGTCACACCAAAACAATCTAGACTGATAAATATCACTACATATAAGGTTATTGTGGGGTGACCTATCGTTTTAACATGATAAATGTGCTGACTGACTTGCATGTACACACGTCTGTCCCTATTTAAGTCCTTCCTGACATAAATAGCCTTTGAGGTAAAACACTAATTATAGCAGGGAGAGGTAAAGAGTGTGTGTGATGGATGTGGGGGTAATTAACCAAACAGGAAGCTGTGATATAATAAGCATTTTAAGTCCACACAAAGTGCCAGAAATTAACACCATCAGTAACCGAAATGTTGTTGCAGGCCTATTTCCATTTGGTTAATATGATGAGCTGTTACAACTATATAATCCTTGATAAGGTGTTCATTCAGCCTCAGTCATGTCACTGAAGACCACTGTAACCAAATAACCTTCTCTCAGTATAAAAAGAACATATCACAAGATCTGTTTGGTACAGAAAATCAACAGTTAAGTTGTCAAGCAGATGTCTGTGTCATCAGATTGAGTGTTAGAGGGAAGAGCTGTCAGTTTCAGATGGCATGGGCCGATGTTTAAGATTTGATTCAGGGAGAAATCTGTGTTAGAATTAAAAACATTTTTGTAGTGTTAATTTTTCACAACCAGCTTGTTCATTCTGACTATGCTATTACAGTGACAGGGAATTAATATTTGTCCCAGTCCATGCAGTAACAATATTTACTGTAGGAGACACCAGATTCTGATGTGTCATATAATGTCCTCACCTGTTCCAGCTTCATCATCAGTGGCAGATCCTGCGATGTGCTTGCCATCTCCTCCAGACTGTCCAACTCTCCATCTGAATCTCCCAGAGGCACAGAAGTCAGACAGTTCACTGGCCTGTCAGTCCCAGCCTTCCCTCCATCCACATCTATGCAGCTGCTGTCTGCAGAGGCAGGCAGAGGGGCGAAATCGGAGGCAAAAGAGTCGTCTGGCTTCATGGATGGGGCTCCCATAGCAGGAACGTGCCGCAGGGAGCCAGCCAAGTCCGGGCAGGGGCTGAGGATCACCCCGGCTCTGGAGCTACTTGGCATCCACCGGGCCAAGAAGTCTGTCTGGGAGTACTGGAGCCCGGCTGACGATGACATGTTGACCGCGCTGTCTCAGGAAGGGCTCGCTAATCCGGGATTTAACCGACAGATTATGGTGACAGATTAAGTGTTAATCACACCTTGAATAAACAACACGCTCATGATGCCCAGGTCCGAGAAAAGTATAAATAGTGTTACTAACCAGTTCAAGGTAACTTAGCATGAGCTATTTTGATATGTGGCGTTATCTTGTAACGTTAGCATGTCACGACAGCAGCGGTTTTAAATGACTGTTTGGTTAGCAACGGCGAAGTAAACCACAGCACAACAAAGCGGGTGAAACATTTATAACGTGACAACATTCCTGATATATGATATCTCTCAATTCAGAGATAATAGTTTGGTGGTGTTTTAAATATGTTTCAATCAATTTTCGGAGCATTTAAAAGGCTGCCCCAATGATACTTGGCTGTTAGCAGACTATTTACGTGACATAAAAAGTTAAAACACCGGTGTTACACCGTAGTAACGACATAGATACGTTAGCAACATTGTTAAAAGTGTTAAAACATATAAATTACCTGTAACATAAGCGAAAAGAGGTGTTACTGAAGCGGAAACCTGCGTTATAGAAATATAACAGATGAAAGTTTCGAAGCCTGCCGCCATATCAAAACAAAGCCCGCGAGAGTAAAAAAAACGACGACAAAGCAGTTGTTGCATTATGGGTAGTGTAGTTCAGCTGTTTTAATAATAAAATCGTTTTTTTTTTTTAGTTAGTTAGCGGTTTTATTTCGTATATATATACGAACATACTATATGAACTACAACTTTTTAGAATATTAAGAATTACATTCTTGTCGAGTAACGTTTTTGGAAAGAAAAATAGCTTCGAAATGCATCCGGTTTAACGGCTTTTCGCAAAGATATTTCACAATAAAAGCCATCGAGAAAATAAAAACTGGCCTTCCTTTGACTTTTCGCTTTATATGCTTAAATCTTTACGTAGTGTACTCTATATTGCATATACATTGTTAAATCTTTACCTTTATGACAAACATTACGTGTTTTTATGAACCAATTTCTACCTCGACGTTTATACTGGTAAATACCCACCGGATGTGTTTTCTAACTGCTGTGATTGGTCGATACGAAAATACCGAACTTCTCTTCCCAGCAGGTGAAATTGTGCTTTATGTGTCAGAACAATGGAGAAAATTTTATGTAATGTCCACGGTAAGTCACCATAAGTTAACGGTTTGTAATTGTTTTTTTATAAAAATATGAAGGTACGTGTTGTGTTTAGTGTCCACAATTCATATTTACACTGTTTTAATGTGCGTGACAAGGCAGTTTCTGTCAGTGGTCGGTGTAACATTCACTTCTGAATATGCTAACCAAAGATTTCTACGCATTTCCGTTGCTAACTTGTAGTAAATAGAAAGCTTATTGAATTTGCTAACAACTCCTTGTCTATGTCCCCGTACAGGCAACGTGTGTATGTTAAAAACGGGCGTTAAAGATGGACCAAATAAAGGCAAGAGCTTCTACGTCTGCGTTGACAAGCAAGGCTGTGATTTCACTCATGTGGCCAGGTATTCACATCACTGATCCCCTGTGTCTGACACTCTGAGACGAATTTAGAGTGGATGTGTGAAGGCAAGGATGGATCCAAGTGTCCACCATAGCAGTGACATGTTTATAAATGCTCATTATTGTGGAAAATTGTACAGCCTCCTCTTTTAAAATGACTCAGGAAGACTCTGGTGCAACCCAGAAATGTTAAAAAACCCAGTACCATAAAGTAGAGATGCGTGAGACCATTCATCTAAACATCAGTCATGCTTAACAGTTGCTTTGCTTGCTTCAGGCAAACACTGATATGGTTTCTGATGCATTCACACTGGTATTTTATTCCTCTCATTTCAGCCAAGACCATGGCCTTTGTCAAACTATAACTGGCAGACATTTGGTCATGGCATAATAGTTAAATTGTTGGTCAAATCCTGGATTAGATCTCCCAAGTTTTGTAGAGTGTGCACAGATTTATATTCCTGTTTCTGATCTCTATTTTACTACGATCTCCTCCAGTGTCTCAGCATCCCACTGCCTCCAGCATGAAGATTCGATTGTGGAGCTCCAAGCTCTTACCTACAGTCTACAACAGCAGAGCCACAGGTGTGTGTACAGGTGTTTTATGGTCCAAAACAAGTAATAAAAAGTAGCTCCTGTTGCAGCTTTACAATTATATTAGGCACTTGAACATGGTGCCTGGTTTTAGTTGACTGATGATTGGATTGTACTTTTGAATCCAAGTGCGTTCTCCTTCTTTCAGGTTGTTCTACAGGTGCATTACAGGGAAAAAAGCTGGCCAGAGGTGGTGTGGAAGCGTGCCTTGGACTGCAGTAAGACAGTACTCATCACATCACACAATACACACCCTTATTGTATCTGAGAATTATATCTGGGACTCATTAGCAGTAGACAACACATTTATCTCTTCAGCCCTCAAATTATTACACACATGTTCAGAACTTCATGCTGAATTCATGTCATGTCAAGACCCCAGTGTTTCCAAAGAGACCAAATATGTTAGTGCCATGCTAAGATATAAGGCTAGAGATATGAATTAACATGTAGAAAATTAACCTTATGGGATTAAAGGGAAATTCTGGACCTTTTGAAGTGGGGTTGTATGAGCTATCCATAGTCAATGTATTACATACAGTATATGTACCTTGCTGCTTCTATCACTCTTTTCAAAGCCAGACTCCACTGAGAAAAACAGTGATCTAACACTGCTGAGCACGGGAGCTGCTGGTCTGTCACTGCCTCAATCAGGTATTTTGTTTGTGTCATATGTGACTTTGGGCTTAAAGGGTTACTTCAGATTAACCACACTCATCAAATAACACAAACAAACTAATCAATCGAGGCAGTGATAGACCAGCAGCTCCCGTGTTCAGCGTGCTAAAATTACTGTTTTTGTCAATGGAGTCTGGTGGCTTTGAAGAGAGCAAAGATGGGGAACTGAAGTCGTTTGTGACTGACTGAAAGACAAAGTGGTGAAAATACTCATAATATAACGTACACTTTAACTGTTATAGATCTTTTTAGGTGGGACATTTTTTACGTGGCTAAAATACATTTTGCTGCTGCCCCCATTCACAGCAGCACATTGCTTAGCTTCCTTATCGGCACTCCTGCCACTTCTCCAAACTGGGGGCGTGCCAACAAACATCTACTGTAGGTAATCCACTGACTATGGATAAACACCTCATACAACCCCACTTCAAAAATCCAAACTGTTTCTGTCACTGGCCATACAACCACAACATCCACAATTTGAGTCTTTGCCACATGTCACCCCCCATCTCTTTTTCAGTTGACTGTCTTGTACCTACTTTTTAAATGTCTGTTTTCCTCCATAATTGCAGCCAGAGAAAGAAAAGAGAAACCCTCTCTCTGACACACAGCTGCAGCCCTCTTGCCTGCCTCCTGTCCGAAACCCTTTTAAAGCCCCTGTCAAGACAGACAAGGATTCTGAGTGGAGCAGGATGCAGCGTGGAGGAGGTGACAAGAAAAGTGAGGAGAAAGACAGCGAGGCAAGAGAAGGTTGTCAGAAAGAAAATGTGGCGAGCGTAGGTGCAAGAGCGGAAGAGAAGGAGAAAGGGAAGCTGGATTCATCAGATTCTTACAGAGGCAAACAGCTTCCCCCGGGGATGAAGTTAAAGAAGAGAGTTTCAGATGAGGAGAGAAGCAGTCCCAAAGCTGACAGTGTGGATAAGACTACAGATAAAGTGCAAGACAAGGCCAAAGAGAACCACACTGAGCAGGGAGTAGCAGAAAAAACTAGCTCTACCTCCACTGTCAAGGCTGTCCATCCTGTGAAAGTAAATCAAACCTCACAAGAACCTCACAAGGGATCGACCCAGCAACCAACCAGCGGTGAAACATGTCAGGTGAAACAAACTGACCCTGCTGTGAAAGAGAGTGTCTCTAAATCTGCACCCAGTAGTAGCCGCAGAGACTCGGAGAACACCAAGAACCCCACAACTACCAAACCAACACAGCCGGAGTCCAGTGGAACCAAAATCCACCAAGATGATGATGATGATGATGATGATGATGTAGTGGTGGTGTTGGTGAAACCTGCTACACAGAAAACTCCTCCTGTGTCTGCTGTCCAAAAGCCCCTGACTGCGTATGCTGGGTTCCAGCCAGCCTCTAAGGTCAAAGGTCAGCAGGATGGGCTGCGCACCATGCTCACTGCTCAACTCCAACAGAAGAAGGTGAGTGTGAGACAGACATGGTTGGCTGTTTGGACAGATTCTGATAGCCGTGCAAGTCAGAGATGTGCCCCAGGTTCTTTCAAGGGTCTGCGTATCTTCTTTATGTATCCATTTTTATTTGTCTGTGGATCCTCTAACCCTTTTGTCCCCCCTGTTTAGGCAACTCTGTCTGTGGTGAACGTGGCAGCTCTGCCAGATAAAGGGGAGAGGTTGAGGACTCAGGTGAAAGAGCTGGAGGACGTACTGGAGTCTCTGAGTCTCACTGCTGCTTCTCAGCCTGGTAACTCACTCACATCACAGCACAGTTAATATAAAATCATTTTGAAAGAAGCCACTACATGTTACAGCTGTTGCAGAAATGAATCTTGGCTCCCAGTTAATCTGGTCTAAAATGGCTTTCCACTAAGTCACTGTGTCGTTGCATGTCAATGAGTTCTAACTGACACAAGCTGTTCTGTTCATGCATTGAGTCCATACGTTTCTCTTACTTTTTTTGCTTTAATTGCTTACACTCCACACAAATTGATATCTAGAGACAGAGTTAGGTAGCTTAATCACATGATAGCTGCCTCACTATCATTCTCCCTGACGCCATGACCACACACACCTGGCTGCATTTCCCTGCCCATCTGAATAAGGCCCTGTTTGTAGGTGACTGTCACTCAGTGTTCGCCAGTGGTACTACAGGAAACAAAAGCAAACTGAAACACATAGAAAATTGGCTCTTACAGGGTCAACGTGACACCAAGACAACAAGCCCTGTTTTTAAATGTTAATGGAAACTGGTCTGACATCTTGAAACACAGCTGGGTCTCAGTTAGTTGTTTGTCCTGTAATTCATTGCCCTCTTAAAACAGTTAAAACATTTTTTGTTGACATTTTAAAAATCATTCTTTTCCCTAGATAAGGAAATTGTGAAATTTATGTTTTTATTTTTTTCATAAGGGATGGCAGAGGAGATACCCACACACCAGTGCAACTGGGCTGGGCAGACACAAAAAGGTTCACAGAGGCTGAAAATGTGTGAACCTTTTTGTGGCTGTTCAGCCCAGTTGCACTGGTGTGTGGGTATCTCCTATCTCCGTCTATTGTACCGACAATGAAACACAACAATGAAGGTAAAAGAACCTAATTTAGAAATAACAGCTAACAGTGCAGAGATGAAGAATGACAAATGTGAGCAGAACAAAGTGCAAGAGAAAATGAAAAGCTCTGTTTTATTATAAATATAGTGAAACATTTGAATTTATGTTGTTGTCGGTATCTGAGTGACCACTGCAACTATGATGTATGAATTCCTCTCAGGGTCTCAGAGTGGAGAGAACAGCAGTGATGCTAGTCTGGGTAGCAAGCAGGTTAACCCATTCAGCCGGCAGGGTGGCACCATCCTGCTCCCAGCCCCCCCAGCCACGGGCCCCTACCAACACCAGGCCTCGGGCACCTCACTGGGGCTCCAGCTGAGCCAGGGATACACCCAGATGTATGGAGGTAAGTTAAAGAGACAGATGAAGACATTTCTGTAGCTGTGTGGGATTTTTCCAGGAGTTCTGTCAGGTCATGTCAGATTTATTTGAAGCAATAAAAGTGTATTTGTATTTATCTGAAATCAGACTATTTATGTCTGGATTTATTTCCATTTTTACTGCTTTTATTTATGTGTCCTTCATGTTTCCAGCAAACCCACAGGTCCATGCCTTTTACGGCGGCAGGATGACTGAGGACCGTCTGCTGGCGGTGAAAAATGCCACCTGCGAGGCCATCGACCATCTCCACAAATCCCTGGAGTCCTGCCCCGACGCTGAGGCCGAGGCTCCAGACCCCAAAGGCATCAAGGTGACACACTCCTTGAGTTTTTCATCAGTCCCTCACACAGAATACCTGACACTACTGATGAGATAAAGGGATTGATGCGTTTACTGTTGCAATCTGATATGTTTTAAAGTATAAAAATGAATGCCTGCATGTCCTCTTTTCATCTGTCCATTACATTATTCTAATAACAGTGTCCTCTTGTGATTGGCTGATCAGGTTACGCTCCTGGCCCATCAGAGGAGAGCTCTGGCCTGGCTGCTCTGGAGAGAAGCCCAGAATCCCTGTGGAGGAATCCTGGGTATGTTCACAGAATTTCTTATGTGATCTTTATCAACCTCTTTCAGAGTGTATACAGGCTAAACACATTATGATGGAAGTAGTTTTTGGTTTGACACCATTTGTTGCACAGACTTGGTGCTAAATTTAAGCTTTTTTGACCACTTGAGAAATGTATAAATGGCCAAAAATCCCTTTTTAAAATACCACATAAGACACCAAGACCTTGAGGAACTTCACAGAAAAATCTATGTTGTGATTTGGTGTCAGAAACTTCTGGCATTTGGAGACTTCTGTGAGAAGTCTGAAATTGATTGAAAGGGGAGCACTTCTGTTCTGGAAACTGCCAAGCCAAACATCCTCTGAATGCTTGAGGTCTCTAGTTTGTGCTTGTGAAGTTTCATGAGGCTGTGATTATCCTAGAGGTCGCTAAAGGTCATTTTATACAGTGATGTCTGTTTCAAATAATGGTCTCACTACAATGAAATAACTACTATGGGGGCTGACGTCATCACACATGAATAAAATTGGGCCCATTGAATTTCCAAGAGTCTCAGCCTTCCAGGTACACTCTATTAACCCTTTGAAAGCTGAGCAAATAGGCTTGATTTCATTGAGCAACGAAAGAAGAAATGACTCAAAAAATTTGCAAGAAATTAGTAGAAAAGACAAAATTAAAAGCAAGAAAATTGATTAAAAAAAGAAAGAAAGTCAAAAACAAACGCACAAGGAAATAACCTGTAAAAATTACAATAATTTTGTCCCACAATTTTAAATATATATAAATATGATTTTTTTTACCTTGCTTTTTCCCTACTTTTCTTGTTGTTGTTTTTTTTAATTAATTTTCTAAATCTATTTATTTTTTGCAATTTGTGGGACATTTCTTGCCAATTCGCTCTTTGCCTTTTTTTGCATGTTTCTGAAAGATCTTTGCTCAGGGTTCAAAGGTTTAAATACTTGGGAAAGGCGTCTGAAAGCAGCACAAGAAAAGTGATGTCTCTTTGGTTTTCAAAGGATTCATGCAATTTCAAGACTGTGTAGGGACCCCAGTATGCAGAATTATTCAAATACAATGGGTGAAAATAAACCATTTGTACAGCATGAGAAAAAATGCATGTTTTTTGCCCAAAATTGCATGGGACTAGGATGGCATGGGCATGTCCGTAAAGTGGACACTCATGGGCACCCATACAACCCCTTTTTCATTTAGTATCTTGAGGTGAGACGCCCCCTGTGAAAATCATCATGCCAGTTTCCTCCTCAGCAACATTTAGCTTAACTTTAAAACTCAGCTCTGAGTTCAGGAAATTGTTTCTGAATAAGATACTTGTCTTTAGGACTTTTAAGTATAATGTGATGAGAAGGTGACAATCCAGTTACCTCCAGTGAGCAGAGAACTTTTTTCTTCATCATTTCTCCTTCTTGTCGTTCCCGCTCTTTTGGGATCCAGCGGATGACATGGGTCTGGGGAAAACCCTGACCATGATCGCTCTCATACTGGCCAAGAAGATCAAGGCGAAAGAGGAAGTTGAGAAGAAGGAAGAGAAGAAGGAAGAGAGCTGGATCTCCAAAACTGGTGACTAGAATATTTTCTAACTTTCTCAGTTTTCTCAGTTTTCTCAGGTAGAATAAAGCAAAGTAATCATGACTGTCCCTGCACATCATTTTAAGGAGCTGTATGCTACATTCAGAAGGTTAATACAGCAGCAACACACTATTTGTCATGTAAAGATGTAGTGGAGTAATCACACACACTTCCCTACACTCCCTCAGTGTGTGGTGTAACCTGAGTTTCTCTGTGGTTTGTTGTGGTAAACCTCTCTGTGTGTGCACGTCACATTGCCCCCGCTTTAACACTGCGATCATACAGCGGTTACTTCTAAGATCAGGGCGGCGTTTTTGCAGAAGCCTCGTGCCTACTCTTGGGTTTCCCCTGGTTCACACTGTTATGGTAGGTGCCTCCCCATTCATTGTCTGTAGTCATGCAGAGCTTTGTGTACTTTCATTTGCATAAAGTTGTATCTGGGCTACTTTATGCAAATCAGAGGCGTCCAGTGTGACTAGCTGCCTCTGGAAACTAACCGTTGTTGATCTGAAACGAAGCCAGCAACTGAAGGGCTTAATTCTTACTTCAGATATTTTTAGAAACACATTTCAGTCAGCTGTTTTCGTGATATAAAGGAAAGTTTCCAAACAAGCTGCCATGATGTTCCAGTTTAAATCTGGGAGCAGACAGCCTGTGGGCATAGTGGCACTCCCATCAAGCATCCAATGCTGTGAAGCAGCGTCACCCCTCACTTCAAAAATCACCCCTGTGGACACGCACAGTTGCTCTGTCAGCACTGCTGCCATTGTTAAGCGCCGTTTAGGGAGTCAACATTATTAGCTGCTAGCCGATGGCTCAGCACCCTCCATGATAAAAACTACGTCCAGACAACTCCTACACTCTGAATGTTGCATAGAGCTCCTTTAAGTTACATAATATGTCTTTTTTTGGTCTGAATTCTTCTCAGGGTTAAATGTTTGAGTATTTACAGTATTCAAGTTCTGATTCATTTGTTGTTGATCATCCAGACTCCAGCCTCGTGGTTTCTAAAGGCACTCTGATCATCTGTCCTGCCTCCCTGGTCCACCACTGGAAGAGGGAGATTGAGAGACATGTGAAGACAAGCAGGCTGAGTGTGTACCTGTACCACGGCCCCAACCGTGAGAGAAGTGCCAAAGTGTGAGGGAACCATGCACACATTCACACACACACACACACACACACACACACACACCTACACACCTCTGTCGTCTTCTCTTTTCTGAATGCTTTATAAAAGAGCAGTCGTACCCTTTTTCTCTTTTTGATCATATAACCACAATATGTTTTCACTCAAAGTCAAACACAAATCAGCAGCTGATTTCATGGTTTCTAACTGAAAGGCTTCAGCTCTTAGACATCAAGAGAAGACTGTTGAAACACACAGTCAGACTGTATTAATTGCTCTCTGTCGTTCCCTCAGGCTGGCTGACTATGATGTGGTGGTGACCACATACAGTTTGGTCTCTAAAGAGATTCCAGTCCAGAAGGAGGACGCTGAGAAACCCAGCAAAGATGATACTGATGTTGTGGTGAGTAATATATTTGTATAACTTAAAGCAACAGCTCTGACTCCAGCAGCATTTATCAGCTTTAATACTGTAACTGAAGATTCTCTCTCTGACACAGACAAAGTTACACTAAAGAAGCTGGCAGCTGAAACTGTGTGTGAAATGTGTTCAGTAATCTTTGGCACCAAAACTGAAGAACTGAGACACATGTAGACTTCATGCCTTTGTCATTTTCCTCAGCCACCACGCTCTGCTCCTCTTCTGCGAGTGACCTGGGCCCGAGTGATTCTGGACGAAGCCCACAACATCAAAAACCCAAAGGTGCAGACCTCCATGGCAGTCTGTCAGCTGAGGGCTCGGGCCCGCTGGGCTGTCACCGGTACACCCATCCAGAACAACCTGCTGGACATGTACTCACTGCTCAAGTAAGAACACACTGATTACAGGGGTAATACATCCTCTGTTTTGTCTCTGTGATCATTTGTGGGCTCTCACTGGGAAGTGCTGTTTGCAGTGAGACTGGTGTGTTTAAGCGGGATTTATACTTGCGTCCGAGTAGTACTGACAACCCCTTTGTGCAGGCTTTGGTTGCCTGCAGGTAAGCAGTCCACTTAGAGAGCAAAAGAGGCAAAACACATTAGCAGAGATACAATCGGAGAACCCATCGGCTATTGTCGGACACATTCTAGCTTTATATTAGCTTTCTATGGCCATAACAAAACTATAAATTCACTGGAGTCACGTGAAGTTGTGAAGATGGTTTATCTGAATGAGTTTCTGTTCATTCACATCTGTCCTTTAGGTTTTTGCGTTGCTCTCCATTTGATGAGTACAAACTGTGGAAAGCTCAGGTGGACAACGGCTCAAAGAGAGGCAGAGAGAGACTCAACATCCTGACCAGGTGTTTGCTGCTCCGACGCACCAAAGACCAGCTGGACTCCACAGGAAAACCACTGGTAGGGACACACACAGCATAGACTCCTGTCCTCATGAGAACATCACACTGATAACGCTCATTATGAAGGCCATGATCTCGGATTTAACTGCAGCTGAGATGTTGACTGATTCAAGCATCAACACACACTCACTCTTGATCCTGGCTGACGTGAAATGTTGAATGTTTCAGGTGTCTCTTCCTGATCGGACCTGCGAGGTGCATCAGCTCAAACTGTCCCAGGATGAACAGGCCGTGTATGATGTGGTCTTTGCCCAATCCAGGTAACACAAAGTTTGTAAAAAGATTGATGAGAAAACATAACCCATATTCCTTTTTTTTTTTTAGTTGTTAGGAAGGTTTCAAACTGATAAAAGTGAGTCAGTCTGGTTCTGAAAATGCCATAGGAACCATAGGAACATCCTCCAGTTCCTTGTTTCACAAACATTGTCAAGACAACACACAATTTGTTTATTTACAATAAACTGTTCACAACATTATATATTTCCTGCACAATTTTCCTGTGACTCCATAATGTTTCTCATGAAGGGCGAGTAGGAATGAAATACAGACTGATCAATGTTCAGCTTTTAAACTCCTCTCTGACTTCTATCAAGCAACATGACTTGCTCTTCTCCTCCAGATCTACTCTGCAGAACTACCTGAAGAGACACGAAGGAAATGATGTGAAAAAGGGAAACGCTTCCAGCTCCAACCCTTTTGACAAAGGTGAGATATCAGCTGGTTGTTTCAGTCCTCAACAGTCCTACTTTTACACAGAGGTGTGACTGTGACTGTGTGGAATTATGTTTGTGTCTCAAGGCCAATTAAGTTAATGCACATAAATGTATATACTTCTATACTACTTTTTATTTCAGATTGATGTTTTAAGAAAGCTGTGTGTATAAAATCGTGTGTGTCTTCCCTCCCCAGTTGCCCAAGAGTTTGGTATGTCCCAGGCCGACCCTGCTTTGTCGAGTTCCCAGCAGCCTCAGCAGGCATCTAGCACCGTCCACATCCTGTCCCTGCTGCTGCGCCTCCGACAGTGCTGCTGTCACCTGTCACTTCTTAAGAAGGTACACACACGTGCTCCGACCAGGCTTACTGGTTTTATCTAATCTAAAAGCACACACACAAAACAGCTGCACAGTATACACAAGCACTTATATCTTTTCTCTCCCGCTCTCTGATCAGACTCTCGACACAACGGAGCTGCAGGGCGACGGGATCGTCTTGTCTCTGGAGGAGCAGCTCAATGCTCTGTCGCTGTCCTCCAGCCCCTCGCCGTCAGACCCCAAAGACACCGTGGCCCTTAATGGCACTCGCTTCTCCTCACAGCTGTTTGAGGACACCAGTGAGAGCACCAAGGTGGGCAGTTGTTGTGCTCAGCACCCGAACATTACACTCACCTCCTGAATGTGAGAATGTGTCCTGCTGGCCGTTTGATATCTCCAGTACTTACAAGTGATTTGCATGGCAGAAGACATGGTTGTATCAGGGCTGTGGACATTAATGGCCTCCATAGAGGAAGGGTCACAGGTTATTTTAGTTTGAGTCCATCTCTGCTCACTACACAGTTTGATTAGTCTAGAAAAAGTGCAGGAAAGAAATCGTTAGGGAGGGCTGACAGCACGTGAAGGTGTCTGGAGTTCGGCTGTAATTGTTGATGAGGATGATAACTAATCATGTCATAGATGGCTACTTTCCTAAGTCATGGTTAAAACATGTCTTCGTCTCGAGCCTATAGAAAAACAGGCCATTTTATTAGTACAAAACAAGAACATGTTCTGGTATCACTGGTGTTATTTTGTCAGATTTTAACAACAACTGCCTCAACTTTCCAGATTTCTGCTATTATCTCTGAGCTGAAGGCGATCAGACAGAAGGGCACCGATCAGAAAAGGTAAAACATTCACATCTTGTTGTTGCCTTAAACTCAAATATGCTTCTCCTTGAATTATTTTTTACTCTTTAAGCAAAAATTCAACACATTGATTTTGCAGACCAAGACATAATAATAAAGAACAAGTAGCTGTCAAATCATCTCCCCACAAGATCCACTCAGTGTCTGTTCCGAAGCTTTTGACTGTGTTGACTAAGCGTAACCCTCATGGTGTCTTCTCCTCTGATGATGTGCAGCGTGATCGTGTCCCAGTGGACCAGCATGCTCAGCATTGTAGCAGTTCATCTGCAGAGGATGGGCCTGAGATACGCCGTTATCGACGGGTCCGTGAACCCCAAACGCCGCATGGACCTGGTGGAAGAATTCAACAACAACCCTGACGGACCGCAGGTAAACTTCACCAACTGGACTCAGACCAGTGTAACACGTATCATACTGTGAGTAAATGTATGAGTTTATATTTTGGTTTTCCGTCAAAGGTGATGCTGGTGTCTCTTTGTGCTGGAGGGGTCGGACTCAATCTCATCGGTGGGAATCACCTCTTCCTCATTGACATGCACTGGTGAGACACACTGACATGCACAAACACAAAGATAATTTGTGATGTTTACTTTCTCCTGCTTGATGTAGCCAGCTGTATCGACCACTGGTGCATGATATTGGATTTTTTACCAGTATCCGATATGCCAATATATAGCAACATATTTGGCCGATACTGATATCAATATATCCACTTTTTTCTCCACATGATTTTAGTGATCATCAAGTCTCTTCTGTAGTGGAATTAACATCATATTATGCACGTATACACTTATCGTGATGGCCCACCAGCAGATGGAGACAAAATACAATACTTTTTAACATATGTAATATTCAGTCATTGTGCAAAATAAGAAAAAGCACATTGGCTGATTCTAATACTTCATTTTAAAGCCAATATTGTCCGATACCAGTGATGTGCCGATGTTATCGTGCATCCCCAGTAGATACAGTATGTCTTTTGTCTGAATATTGTGGTTGTTTTTATTCTGTCTATGCCAAAAAGTAGCTTTACCTCCTGTTTTTGTCTCATTATTTAACCTTAAAATGAACTTCACTTGAAACAGTTGATATAAATAGTTATTACTCATCAGCTGACTTTTAGCTGCTTTTAGTTCTCTCACTTCAACTGACACTTCATGTGTCTCTTCAGCCCCTCTCAGTGCTTCAGTTGTAGTCATCCCCATAGAACATTTTACAAGGAAAGAATTAACAGTTTAAGATACTGTTAACATTTTACAGTTTTTATTATTTAATTATTTATTATTGATTATTGTAAAGTACACTTCTTTAAGAACTAAAATAGCCCTCACTAACAAACATCAACATTTTGCCAAAAAATTGATGGAATGTATGGTAAATGTCAAATGAACTTGCACTTGTATAGCACCTTTCTAGTCTTCTGACCACTCAAAGTGCTTTTACACTACGAGTCACATTCACACACACATTCACACACTGGTGGCCGAGGCTACCATACAAGGTGCCACCTGCTACTCAGTTTTTAACACACTCACACACAGATGGAATAGCCATTGGGAGCAATTTGGGGTTCAGTATCTTGCTCAGGGACACTTCAACATGCAGACTGGAGGAGCCGGGGATCAAACCGCTGATCTTCCCATTAGTAGACGACCCACTGTTCCTCTGAGCCACAGCCACCCTCAATGATATAATAATAGCCCTCAATGAGTAACTCTAATTAGAATTTTAAAATACACTTAACACTAGAGGTGAGAATCACCAGAGGATCCACGATACAATATTATCACGCTACTTAGGTCACGATTCAATATTATTGGGATTTTAAATATGTTGCGATATGCTATACTATGATTTATTACTTTATTCAACTATACATCATGTCCCCAAACGAAAACACTGTCAGCATCTTTTTATCTCACTTAAGCCTTTTTTTTTTTTTTTTTTTTTTTTTGCAGCAAGCTATATGTAGTGGACTGAGAAAGGAATTAATTATATTGTTCTAGTAGGCTACCTTAAGTTTAATTTGTATTTGTAATATTAATACTTTATATAATACTTTTTTTTTTTTTTTTTTACCACGTTGCCACTAAAAAATATCGTGATGCTGTGCTGTATCAAATATTTTCCCACCCCTCCTATTTCCTTGTTTAATTCCTTCAAAGTATTCATTATATATATTATATAGACAGAGGTGGATGTAGATTTTGCTTTGGGAATTTTCTGCCAGAAAGAGATTTCTTGGTTACGGTTCGCTAAAAATTGTAGTTTGGGTTAAAATAAATGGAGTTCTGCCAGAAAGGCAAATTTTTTCTATGAGCATGAAAACTGCAACTTGACTGTTTGATGGAGGCGTGTAGCTGTGAGATGTTAATGTTTGTTACACTCTGACTCCTGAATACTCTGAAAGGAACCCAGCCTTGGAAGATCAGGCCTGTGACAGAATCTACAGAGTTGGACAAAGAAAAGACGTCACCATCCACAGGTAACCAATCAGCAGGACGTCCAATGTGTGTGTGTTGTGAATGCTATTATTTACCAATAATACTGCAGTGTTGCATTTAAAGTTTCCTGAAACAGAGATCACATTAAATGTCCTGTAGGCAGGAGTGAAACCGTCAACCCACAGCTTCATGGGAAAATGTTTTGTGTTTGTGTGTGTTTGCAGGTTTGTGTGTGACGGCACAGTGGAGGAGAAGATCTCAACACTGCAGATGAAGAAGAAGGAGCTGGCCCAGAACGTGTTGTCAGGAACAGGAAGCACCGTCTCCAAACTCTCCCTGGCTGATCTCAGGATCATCTTTGGTGTCTGAGATGGAGGAGGACCATCAGACCCACAGCTGCAACACCAGGCAGCTGTTCATACACACAGTATATTCAAAACTTAGGGTATTTAAGCCTGGAAAATCTTGAAATTACTCAGATAGACTGAGGTAATAAATGACATGAATCTAAGATGCTGGAGAGCTTATTATTCCACCATGTCATGACAGGTTTTTTTCCTCTTTTAGCTAAATTAAGAACAGCATTTCAGTTGGTATTTGATTCATCCTAAAGCTCTATAACATTATCTGAGCATCTCTATCTTGAGCATCTTTACTTCCTCCAACAGCCACTACACCACTCTTGTGGAGTTACACTAAACTGCAGATGCAACATACTATGCAACATTTTATGCGGCTACAAATGCAGACACTGTTGCGTCCACCTCAGCCTGAAATATAAGTTGATGCCCACTAAAATCATAATGCAACTTCTGTTTACGCGACAATGCCTGTGTCTGAGTTCCAATGCCATATCTGACACACAGGTTAGGACCTCTTAAACTCCTCATCTTTTGGTCCATTGATGCTTTATGGCACTTTTTGTGTTTATGGCATATGCTGCAGTAAGTGTGGCAAATAATTAAGTAACATTTTTAAATGCATGTGTGTATGTTTTCCAGTTTCTTATTATTTTATTATGTTATATTTCAAAGTTATTTTAAGTGAAGCAGATATTTCCATATATTTGTGTCTGATGGAGTTTATTTCCTGTCCTCTTTTTACATGCCTTTTAAAGTATTGTATGTGTGTTGAATTGATGATGTTTGAATAAATTCAGATGAAGACATTAGTGTGACCGCTTAATCCTAAATCCTAAATTTATCAATTTAGTCAAAATGTATTGCATTTTGCTCAGGTTTGTTTGGATTTCCGGGTGAAATTAAACTCAATCTAAACTTTTCACTGCTGCCAAAAATATGTTGGTCATATTGTACTTTTGAAGATATATTTTAGAATCTGCATTATCTCATATTTGAATATGAACATTGTGTTTATTTTAAATATATTTTAAACACTATGGAATTCTACAATATAATCCTGTGGATACAATATATTCAGAATACGTTCTGGCCACAAATACTTGAATTTAATGTAACTTAGCTGTGCAAACACTGCTGATTTTGAGTTAGTTTTGTGTGCTTGAACATACCAGTAGGTGGGTAGTGCTAACATACATTATACTGCTTTATAATGCATATATTTACTAATGTTTTGTATGAGATTTACCCCTTTATCTCTTGCTCGGGCTCTCGCCCTGTGCAGTCCTCCATGTTTTCATTGCTTTTCAGAGGGTAGTTTTGTGTCCGTGCTGCCTTTGAGAACATTGGATTTTTGAGCTTCAGCCGTTGAAACAACGACACAGTAGAGGCTTAATAGAATTAAATGTCGCGTATTTCTGTATTATTTTACTTAATTAATGCTGCCTGTCATAAAGCAGAAACTGCGCTAACAAGCTTGGACAAAAACAAGTTTAAAATTGAATAGTAATGGAAAGAGCTGGTAAAATTTGAGTTTAGGAGCAGTACTTGAACGCAGCGTCGTAAGAGCGGGCGGTAGCTGCTGGATAACCCTCTGAGCCGCAGAGCTCGTGCAGTAACGGCCAGGTACGCTAGCGCCCTGCCTCCCTGAGCACGCAGCAGCTAACGGGGCCTTTCGAGTGCTGGACCGAAAAATAGCTAATTTTTCAGCAGACCGGCGGCCATGGCGGCTGAAGCGGAGAAGGTGGAGCCCGCGGACAGCGAACAAGAGGAGGAAGTAGAAGATGTGTACGAAGTGGAGCGGATCATTGACATGCGGGTGGAAGAGGTAAAGCTAACGTTAGCTTAGCTAGCTACGAGGCAAACATGGCTGGCATTGCTCTCACTCCACTCTCACGACGCATAGCCCACCTACATCAGTGCCCCGACACTTTCAGTTACATAAACGTTTATCTGCAGTGAATTTCAAGTGCGTTTTGATGCATTGAATTGCTTTTGTGTCACTTAGTCTAATGCGCGTACTCTTTTTGTGACCGCTCGTCCATACAGAGCGTTAGCATCGTTTTTTTTTAGCATAACTTCCCCCATGATGTCCGCTCGCCTCTCCCCTGCTGGGGCCAAGGACGGACGCCTTGCAAGCTTGCAGATATTTTCATTATGTGTGCTCGTACCCGGCTTCACAGCTAAATAAATACAAAACGATGTTTTTCTCGTTGTGCATAAAACAGATGGAGCAGTGAGATCAGTTAGCGTATGCTAATGCCCAGTGTGTATTTACCAACGGCTGCGAACGTTACGGTACCGTCGTGGCCGCCGTATTTAAAATGGCAACAACAGACCGACTGTCCTGTGTCATCAACAGAGATGGATACTAATCAAGTATAGCTAAACATTTTATCTCACGCTACATTGTGTCTTTGTACACAGTAAGCTAAAGTAATTTGATGCACCACGTTTAGTTACTTGAACATTTCACCTGAGCATTACGTGGCATTATACTATTACTAAATCCATCCAGTAACCAGTAGTGGAGCAAGTACTCAGATCTTTTACTAAAGTAGAAGTAGTAATACTGTAGCGTTAAAATCTACTCTTGTACAAGTACAACCCCTGTATTGAAAATATTACTTAAGTACATAAGTTAAGTATTAGTATCAACATATACTTAAAGTACCAAAAGTAAAAGTACTCTGTGCAGAATGGCTTATTTTATAAAATGCATATTGATTTCAGGGTGTCTGCAGGTCCTTAAAATGAATAAGAATGTCTGAAATCCAATTTTATAAATGTTAAATGTTAATGTTTATTATGAACACTAAATTAGAAGAAGAAGCAACTCAGCCCTCTTGTGTGCAGTGGGTCTGCAGGTCCTTAAAATGTCTTACATTCAGATTGAATGGGTCTAAATATTTTCAGTTGCAGTGCCACAGTTTCTCCATCCGGACAGACCCAGTGACTGTTTACAATAATTGGACAACCCCAAGATTTGCAATAATAAATAGTGTTAATGACAGTGATGAGACTTTGTTTTTACATTAAGTTTTTTTCCTTACTTTTCATTTTGAACTGACATCAGTGTGTTTACTTGGAATGAGACATGTGTCCCACACACACATAATGTGTATTCCCATTGCAGGTTTGGTGTTAAATTTCATATGATTACATCTGTAGACACCCTGATCAATCTGATGTTTCCTGCCAGTACCTGCACCAAGTTACAAGGACTGACAGTGCGGTGCACAGGGCATGTGCTTTTGAATGAGTCTTATATTCAAATTTGTGACAAACATTTTATCTGATTTCACTTATCCCTGTTTTTGTCAATGAGTCAAGCTTGTCTGCATCAAAGTCCACATTTCTGATGTAACAAATCTTTAAACCTACCACTGAAAGTAATGCTGACTCTTTAAAATAATACTTGCACTTACCTGTTGGCTAAATGTAGGTTGCCGTGACTCACTCTATTAACCATATTTCTTTATAAAACCAACTTTTGCACAGAGCTGCATTTATACTACTTACTTTTACCCACAATACTTAAAAAAAGAAAAGAATGATATGTCCAAAAATCAGTCTTTAATTTAATCAAAATTTATCTTAAAGTTCTTAAAAGGTATTAAATGTAAGTATCTGTTACCTGTAGACACCCTGATTGGATTATAATTTGTGATGCATTATGTGTACATCACTTTAATGTTGTATGCATCTTGTAAAGGTGGAGCTAATCTCAGCTACTTTATGTACTGCTGGGTATTTTCACCTTTTTAATAAACCATAATTTCTTAAATTAGGTTTTGTAATAATGATTTTAATCTGCAAAGTAAGTGGACAAATAAATGTTGAAAATGTGCAATATTTGCTTCAGAATGTTGCAGAGTAGAAATTAAAGTGCAAGTGCCTCACAATTGTACTTGATTACAATACTTGAGTAAATGTACTGTTACATTCGACCACTGCTAGTAAAAGTATGTTAAAACATGCATTTAACACATATGTAGTAGCTGTATATATACCTTGCTGAGTATTCCTAGTTCCTGCTTTTTTAAACCATAAAAAATACAAGATGTTAAGTAACAAACTCACTAATAATTAACTCTTGATTTTTAACCAGGGCTCACTAGTGTGACTTGTTGCAGTGCTCAGCAGAACAAAAGTATGCGTGGTATTTGATAGTCCTAGCCTGTTATTCGAGGATTAGAGTATTTGTGTTATGGTGGTTACTGATTGAATAATTGTAGATGTCTAGTTGAAACTATATAAATATAATATTATTAATAATCAGAATGAAGTCAGACCATAGAGATGTTTCAGCTCTGTCATTGATCGGTTACACAGATAATTACACTTCCATTGAATTGTTTGTTTATCTTTTTCACAGTAGTAATCTCTCCCCTTACTTCTTTTCATGTTGTGTTTACAAAGTCAGGATTTGTCACAAGTCTGTGCCACATTTTCACACTCAAATGTTAACCAGCGCTCCCTGCGAGTATTTATGGAGGGGGGTGCTTTTGTGTGTGAGTGGAGGGGGGTTGGAGGGTGGTGGTTGCTTTTGTTTTGTTTCTACAAACTTTAAGGATTCTTCACATTCACTGTTTGTTTACATCCATTTAAACAAGATTTTCCCCATCTTTGAATGAATCTTTGCAAATCTGAAGTTAATTCATGAGATTAAAGGATCAAGATAAATTGAGTCAGCACTGCTGAGTTTAAGCTGGAGAAACATTATTTTTTATGAGTTTTTTTAAGTGTGTGCATTTGCAGGATGAACACAAGGGTAAGCAAAGTGTTGGTGGATTTGCGAACAAGGCTGAAAGGAGAGATCACTACTCAAAGCTTTGAAATATTGCATCCGGCTCAACAAAATTGCATTGATCTCTCTGTGTTAAGGAGAACTGTGAAATGATTTAATTCCCACAGCTGAACACTAAGCCATTTTTAAGACTGAAACACATCCACTGTGGTCAGAAAAAAAGATCTCCAGCTGCAGAGCTATCCTCACTGTGTAGTTTGTCCAAAAAAGAAAAATCCTTTTTAAAGCAGCATCACTTATAGTTTCGATCGTAACACATTTCACATACGTGTAATGCCAAAATTGTTGAATCAATATTGTATTCTGGACCAGCGGGACTCCTCAACTAGAAAGTGCCGGAAAGATTACTTAAAAGTTCATTAAGCGTGCTATGATTTGCACCTCCACAGTTTAGGCAAATTAAATCAGTAATGGATTAAAAGGCAAGTGCTTTGTAGAGAGACTTGAGGGGCCACGATGAGGTGCAAGATGAGGGTCACATGGTCAAGGAGGAAGCCGAGCTAATACGAGCCCCAGTGAGTTATGAACACACTTGGCTTGCTGCTGGCCTCGGATTATAAGGAGTCTCTCGAGAGGCTCCCGGGGTTTGCGCCACCTGTGTAGGAAGCCAGAGGAGCACGGAGGAGAGTGAAAACAAAAACAGTTAGGAAGTAAGCCTGGCCTGCCGGCAGCCCTGTGGGAAGATGCAGCCATTAAGACAGACTGTTTATATGTTGTTGCACTGAGACACAACATGAGTAAAAGGCTGTGTAATCACAGTGGACCTGCCAGTCGGGATGCAGGAAAGCTGAAGGTTCACTGAAGCAGAAATCTGCTTGTGAAGTACAAGGCAACCTATAGAAATGCCTGTTAAAATAATAAGCAGAAAAGAATATCTATAATCAAACCTAAGATGCATGTAGTCATTATGATGACCACAATAATGTGCTATCATAGAAGACTGCTCTGTAGATATGTGTTGTGTCATTGTTGTCATTATTCCTGTTTATATTCCTTCCT